AGTTTACATGCTAGTTTAGTTAATTTGTTAATTAGCTAGTATTGTGTAATAATTAATTAATTCGATTCTGTATTATTTATTCGGACCCTTCGCGAGAGGTTGAACTTTGTAATAAGTGTGCGTGTGTGTGATGCATGTCTTCCAACCCCACGTCTTTCTCCCTTTTATATACCAGCTTATGATGGTTAGTTTTAGGGCATGTTTCAATTAGCATCTATATGTTTGCATGTTTGCATTCATTCATCTGTATTGCATGCACTGGGCTCGGCTCATCATCCTAACTGCATTGTATTTCAATTCCAAGTTGAATACATGTATCGATTGTTGCATCTCATATGCCATCTTAGAATAGCCGAGCCTATTGTGGTTGCATTTCTGCATGTGTTGCATTGGGCATCTCAGCATAGTTAGGATTCATGCATGTTTTCTAATTAGCTTATTTCTTTGGCTCGGAGTGCTCGGTAAGTGTTAATGCTTTAGCATCCTTACATGTGTGTGAGTGACTGCCATGATAGCATGCTTACCATGAGGCTATGTGCTTATGTGATATAACTACCTGAATGCCTGTGGGTGAAGGTTGGGTTGCTTGAGTTGGAATAATTCGTTGAAACCCGTGTTGTAGCCTACTTATGAGTAGCAAACTTCAATGGGTTGCTTGAATTGGAATAATTCGTCGAAACCCGTGTTTTAGCCTACTTGCGAGTACCAAACTTCAATCCATTTTCAAAACAAATGGATATGAGATGCTTTGTTCCAACTTAGGCAATCTAGTCTATACTTGTATGCTGTGCTCATCACATAGTAATTCTAGGTTAATAACCGGAAAAAGAACACATGTGTTTTCAAAAACAAGATATCATGTTTAGTAGTGGCCGATCTTTGATCGGGCGAGCGGGGGTATTCATTACATGACCTTCCCCAATCGTACCCAAGTTCCCGAGCCGAGGCAACTTTGATGATGACAGATACGTGGCCTTAGGCACGAGTTAGGGTTTCCTAAATTCCCCCAAAATAAAATATTTAGGTGGCGACTCTGTATCTGGCAAAGCAGTCCATGTTTGGCACTTCTTTCTAAAAATTTATTTTCAAAATGATTTGCCTGATTTGGACTCTTTGGTGATTTATCGGTCTGGCATTGCTCTTTGCGGGATTAGATTCAGAACCGTGACATTTGAGTCCGAACTGTAGTAAGCCCAAATGAACAAAACGGGATTCCTTCCCGGGATGTTCGAGGACGTCTACAAGGGGGAGCCAGCCTCTCTCACTTCTACTCTTCCTTCTTATGCTCTTTCTACATCCACTTCTATATCCTCTTGCTTCTACCCCTCATTTGTAGGTTTTTCAACGGTCTCAAGCTCGTCGCATTGTGTCTTATGGCTCGACTAGTTCATCTTCTTCATTTGAGGCCCCTGTTCCACCTGCTGATCTACCATCTGATGACCTTCCTATTGCACTCCGCAAAGGTACATAAACTTGCACTCAACATCCTATTACTTATTTCGTTTCTTATGATTGCCTCTCTCCTAGTCTTCACCTTTTGCTTGTAGCTTGTCTAGTATTTCCATTCCCCGCACCTATCAATAGGCTATGTCCATCTCTGGTTGGAAGCATGCCATGGATGAGGAAATGCATGCTCTTCATCAAAATCAAACGTGGGACCTTACCTCTCTGTTGTTTGGCAAATCTAGTGTGGGTTGTCATTGGATTTATACTGTTAAGTATCTTCTTGATGGCACTGTTGAACGGCTTAAGGCTCTCTTGGTAGCTAAAGGCTACACCCAGACCTATAGTGTTGATTACTTGGAGACCTTCTCTCCTGTGGCTCGTCTTAATTTTGCTCAGATTCTTCTCTCTGTTGCATTTAATCAGTCTTGGCCTTTATATCAACTTGATGTCAAGAATGCCTTTCTCCATGGTGATCTCCAAGAGGACGTCTATATGGATTAGCCCCTTGGCTATGTTGTTCCCAGCCAAGAGCATCTTGTTTGTAGATTGCGGAAGGCCTTGTATGTTCTTAAGCAGTCCCCTCGTGCCTAGTTTGATCGCTTCAGTGCTGTTGTGCTTGCTTATGGATTTCACCGTTCCACCTTTGATCACTTTGTTTTTATTCGCCACTCGTCTACTGGGAGTATTGTTCTTATTGGCTATATGGATGACATCATCATTTCAGGGAGTGACTCCAATGGTATTGCTGATTTGAAGCAGTATTTGGGACAACAATTCACATCAAAGACTTGGGCCATCTTCGGTATTTTCTTGGGATTGAAGTTGCCTGCTTTTTTTCCTTTCTCAACGGAAGTATGTTCTTGATCTTCTTACTAAGACTAGCCTCTTAGGCACTCGCCCCAGTGATACTCCCATGGATTCTAGTGTCAAGCTTGATGGTGACACTGGCGACTTATTTCTTGATATTGGTTGTTATCGTCGGTTGGTTGGGAAGTTAATATATCCCATTGTCACTTGTCCCGATATTATCTATACCGCGGGTGTGGTTAGTCAATTTATGCATGCTCCCCGTCAATCCCATGTGGCTGTGTGTCGTATCTTGCAATACTTAAAGCGTGCTCCAGGTCGGGGTTTGCTCTATCGCCCTCTTTCTCTTTGTCTGTTATTGGCTTCAGTGATGTTGATTGGGCTGGTAATAAGACTAACCGCCGTTCCACCTCGGGCTATTGTACTTTTGTTGGTGGTAATCTTGTTACTTGGCATAGTAAGAAACAGACTATTGTTGCTCGTTCTAGTGTCGAGGTTGAGTATCGTGCCATGACTCATGCTACTTCTGAGATGCTCTGGGTTCAGTCTCTTCTCCAAGATTTTTGCTTTTCTATTCCCACTCCTATGACCATGTCTTATGGCAATCAGACTGCTATCTTTATTACCAATCAGTGTGCTTGGTTTGAGTTTTTTGGATTAAGTTTTTTGAAAATTAAGTTTTTTGGTTTTCGTGTTTTTTTGTTTTTAGTAAATATTTTTTAAATTTTAAACATTTTTTTTACTTTTTTAGATGCACCGTATTTAGATGTATCTAAAAAGTAAAAAATTTGTGAAAAAATATTTTAAAAAATTAATAAATACATAAAAATATAAAAAAATGTACCGAATTCTCATATTTTTTTTTATATTTTTGGTATTTAGTGAATTTTTAAAAGGTTTTTTTCACAATTTTTTTACTTTTTAGGTATATTTATGTTAGGTATGTCTAAAAAGTAAAAAAAAACTTGCTTAAAATATTAAAAAAATTTAGTAAAAACAAAAAAAAAAAACGAAAAACAAAAAACTAGAATTTTTTGAAAAATGTTTTTGGAAAAATGGAACCAAGCAAAGTGAATAATCCTGTGTTTCATGAACGCACCAAACATATCGAAGTTGATTGCCATTTTATTCGTGATCTCTTACTCCGCAAACAACTTGTGACTCCTTATGTTCGTTTTGAGGATCAATTGGATGATATTCTAACCAAGCCTTTGGCTCGGCCTTCGTTTTATCGTTTATCCGTCAAACTGGGCATATTCGATCTCTATGCTCCAACTGGAGGGGGAGTGTTAGAATACTTATTTTGTTCTTTTGTTAATATTTACTTAAGTTGAGGGTACGATGGTCATATTGCTATGTTAGGATTTGTATATAAATTAGACTGATGTAAAGTTGAGGTATTATGATTATTCAATATATATAAAATTTCTCGTTCTTCTTATTATTCTTCTTCTTCCTCCTAAATCCCAACCCTAAATTCCTTCATTCTACATTGTAGCTGTAACAATTACAATTCACATGATTATAGCAATGGTTACTATCTATTTTGGTAATGAACAAGAGATTTTTGTAGTTTTAGATTTGTCCTACCTAGTTACAGGCAATGGTTGAGATTATTGACAAAGCAACTTGAGAGTAGATTTACAAGACACCCAACATTGTCTGCCAAGAGAAACAAACAAGTCCAAAGGTGTAAAGTTACCTTCCAAGTTGTAATTGAAGTTGTCAATATATCTTTTCCTTTAAGGCTCTTTAAAACGGAATGAGAGATTGTGATTTAGTGTAAACAATCAAATTTTGTTAAGACTATCTTTGATCTTAACAAAATTTATTATTTTATCCAAAAAGCAAAAGAAATGAGAGATTGTGATTTGGTTTGTATATCGATCCCATTGTTTCTCAAGTAGGGAGAGCAGGTTAGTCAATGGTGAGAAGTGACAGCAGTAGAAAGTTGTCAACTTCTGACTAAACTAAGCATAAAACGATTCATGTTGCCGACTCTATTTGATTGGAAGACAAGGCTTAGTTTGGTTTGAAAAATTGAATTTTATAACAAAGGAACGTTAATTTGGCCAGACTCTTTGGTTTCCCCGGTATAATAATGTCTTGAATTAGCTGTAGCTCTATTTTGTAAACTTGATCTGTGAGCTGTGACCAGTATTTCATCACTAACTAAAATTTCTTACTGAGAAGAGTGAAATTGGCACGTTTAGATTAGAGATCTGCTTCTGATTTATGGATGGTGGGTATTAATACATTTTTCTTGTTATTGTTAATAGCTAATCCTAATATGCTTAATGGATAATTAACCTAGGTTTCACTTTGTGTACACTACTACAAAAACAGTGAAAGATCACACTTTGACAAACATAAATATCTCACTTTTATTAAAAGTGTGATAAAAAAAATTAGATTGATATTTTAATCACACTTGATTTGATTAAGTGTGATAATATTTATTTTTTATGCCACTTTTCAATTAAGTGTGATTATATATATATATATATATTTTAATCACACTTTCTAATTAACATGTGATTAAAGATCACATAAGAAAAATTAAAAATATCTCATTTTTATTAGAAATGTGATTAAAAACTAAAATGATTTTTTAATCACACTTAATTTAATGAGTGAGATAATATATTATTTTTAATCACACATTTTAAATAAGTGTAATTATATATATTTATTTTACTTCTCTCTCTCTCTCTCTCTCTCTCTCACACACACACACACACACACACACACACACACACACACAATCAATTCCCAAATTAAACCCTAACACACCCACCCCTTATCTCACCATATTCAACATTTGTCTCACACTCGTCTTTTGCTCCTCCACTACGCCGATCACCATCGCCGTTACCTCTAGTAGCCTTGCTGGTCGCCACCGCTGTTAGTAGCCTTGCCAATCTCTACACTCTTCTGTATTGAACGATTCGACCTCTCTGCAATCTCTCTTTCTCTCTCTGCACCATCATCACCGCCTTCATCTCTCTCTTCCTGGTAAGCACTCTCTGCCTCTCTTTCTCTGTGTATTCTATGTATTCCTATATATATATATATGTATGTTTATATAATCTCCTCATTTTTCCTATAAGAATGAGGAATTTAGGGTTTGGGACACAAGAAGATGAAAATAAGAAAACTGAAGATATTTTGTTGCCTTATATATGTGATTAATATTAGAAATGAGGATATATTCATCTAATTTCCAACAGATGAACAATTTGATTGTATTTTATTTTTATATTCTTTTTGATATTGGAACTGCTCATTAGCTTGTTTGATTGGTTCTTGTAATGCTTTTAGAAAATAAATTTGATTTATGATTCCTATTTGTGTTTTACATGATACAAATTTGGGGACTCTGCCTCTATGCCTACTGATCTACCCCTATGGATTACCCGAAAATCTATCTGCTAACATATACAAAACAATGACAAGCAAATTAGACTGTATGCTTTATATAATAAAATAGAATAGATGGGTCATCATTTTAATTTATGAAAAAAAAAACCCCATTTTCAGCAGTCACCTTTCCTCCCCAATTAATCAACACTTGATTGATTTCAATACTACCGAGTCCTTTTCAATTAACTTGAATTCTGTTGTTTCAATCTAAAGTATCAATTTTTTATTTTTTTTTTAAGAATGATGAATAATGTTCCGGAATTCTAATATAAATCTTTTTAATTTCTAGAGGCATTTCATGTGGTGGAAGTTAATAGTCCAATTTTTGATGGTATCTGTCACAGTTTAAGGATGTGATACAAACTGCTGCTCTGTTTTCATGATTGTTCAGAGACCTGAATTCTAATATAAATCTTGTTTGTATGTATCTATTCGTTACTGAAATTATTGGGATTCCATAATTTCTCCAAGATGCAATGGTACCATTCTTATTCATTGATTTTCTTTGGGGTTTCTGATTTAACCAGGTACGTGTAGGCAAGAAATTAAGTTGCTGACGTGTTAATGAATTATTGTGGAAGACAAATTTGTCTATAAAGAGAAGAACCAAGAAATAGAAAAGGCAGTGAGCGAATTTAGGAAAGCCATAAACGAATTGGCAAAAGTGATGATTTTATTTATTGTTCTACTTTTGTGATGAGGTAATCAAAATGAATCTGAAAGTTGTGGACTATTTTAGAAGGGCCAGGTTATATTCTTTCTTCTTCTTTTGTTTTTTGTTAATTATTTTTATTGATGGTGAGGTTAGTACCTATTGCTGCGTATTAACTTTTTTGCTTGTTCTTTGTGTCCTCTAAATTACTTCTTTTTGAAAACCTTTTACTATACTTGCAAATTCTCAATTTTGCTTCTCATGACTGTAAATTTTTAATTTTTTTTCGTTGTTCATGGTCAATCAAAGACTCACAACTTTGGTATGAATTATGGCATTTCTTGCACAGTTTGGTTTTTTTACTTGCCTTCTTTGAGGCATTTACTTTAAAAGTTGAGGCATTTACGTTTTCAGAGATCACTCTTCTGTATTGTTTACTTTTTGCCTTCCTAATAAATATGTGATTATGCTTTATATTGAGCACATTTACATTGCCAAAAACGTGTTGGTACTTCTTTTCTCTGTTTCTTATTTAGATAATTCTGATTGTTAACTGGATAATTTCTTACCTTTTCATTCAATTCTGTTTTGCTGACAGTGCTTTGAGTTTTCGTGATATACCATTTCTCATAAGTATGACTATGTTTCATGATCTTGTTGTTATGATCTCAGGATTAGACACTGAATGTGTGTCCAGCTCAGAAGCTAAGAACTATTAGTTTCTTTGCTTTACTGTGCTAGCTGTCAATAATCACAACAAAAAAATTAATTTTTTTTGGAACTGCTGGATGTTTTTGGGTTTTGCTTTTGTTTTTCTGTGTTATCTTTAGGATAGTATACTTTGTTTGGTAAATATTTCTTCTTTTTACAGATCAGTGAGTATTCAAAGAAGAATGTTTGTTTCATCATGTTTTTAGATAAGCAAACACTGTTGAAACTGTCAACAGAGGGGAATGTTCTTGATGAGAGAGTATGTATTGGGTTATGGAGAATAGTTATTGTGAGGAACCTACCCTACAAGGATATGCTCAAAACTGGGAAGGTGCCAAAATTTCTATCACATCGTCTCTTCCCTTCTTCTAGGTGATTCTCACACCAAATTTTGTAGATCACTGGGTTATAGACCTTATTTGCTTTCTTCGTTAACCAACACCAAGATTTCTACTTAACATATCTTCTTATTTTGTGGTGATTTCTTAGGTATTCTATTTGGCTTGATAGCAAGATGCGACTTCAGACTGATCCGATGCTAATCATTGAATTCTTTTTGTGGCAAACTAGATTAGAGTATGCTATTTCAAATCATTATACTCGCCACTGTGTTTGGATGGAGGTACACCAGAATAACCGTCTAAATAAATGCAACCACACAGCCATTGATGAACAGTTCAACTTTTACTAGTCTGATGGTCTCACCAAGTTTGACCCTTCAGTCCTAAATACTCTTCTTCCAAGTTGTGCGTGTCATTGTCTTTTTTTATTTTGGAGTTTGCCTTTTCCTTATCCGCAATTATTGCCCCTTGCTGCTTAAGTGCTTATTTTTGTTTGTCATATGCTTTGCACTTTGCAGATGTGCCTGAAGGTTCATTTATTGTTAGGCCCATACACCGATGTCAAATTTATTTTAATGCCTTTGGTTTAATGAAGTTAATTATTTTACATCATGTGATCAATTGAGCTTTGCTTATACCTTGAAGTTGAAGAGATCGAATCCAAAAAGGCCATTCTTTCTAAATATGTTCAAGGTGGGTAATTACTAAAATAAAATTATTCTTTCCATTACATTGTGCTTCAGGGACTGTAATTTACCTATACTAGGAGAGTAATGTGGGAGGCTGATAAACTAGTTGGAATTTCTAAATAAAGAAATAGTGCCCTTACTATTAACTTGTTCCTTCAATCTGCTCATATTTATTGACCTTAAAAACCATACATTTTAGGTGTTAGCCTCCAAGTGTTCTGCACTTGGCTGGTTAGTTAAACGAATTTTCATAATATCACTCTTTGATCAGAATTTCAGAATGCTTTTCTGGATCATTTGTTTGTTTATTTTTTATTTTTATTGCATTGACAATTCAAATTAATGTGGCTAGAACAGATGTGTACTAAAATAAGGCATTTTGATTCCATCAAACCTTGGAGGTGGTGCATTTATTGGACGCATGCTAGATGAGGCCTTGTATAAGGTTTATTTCATGTTTGGCCACAATTGCCTTACGTGTTCTGTTTGTTATGATAAAGGATATGGACATATGACCCATCAACTCCAACAACAAGAAATGCGACCATCTACTGTGGATCAGAGATCATGTCAGTTGAGTGGGATTGTAAATCAGACTATTTGGTATTTAATTCAACATCATATGAGTGGGATTGTAAATCAGACCGTTTGGTATTTAATTCAACATCATATGAACATGTTTTATTCATTTTCATGTTGGAGGATGATGTTTGATTGTCTAATACCAGAAATTCATGTTTGTAGCTCTTGTTTGCCTTCTTCCTTGAGCCATTACCACTTAAAGCTTATGTCCCTTGGAACCTGAGGAAGTTTATTTAGCTTTCTTTGATTGCTTGAACTGAAATATTAATCAAGTTTTATCTAGGGATTTATGTTTGAGGTCATTTCAAGGCTTGAGAAGGAGAATGAATCTCTTTGCTAAGTTGAGTGCTTATACAGGACATTATATATATTGACTGATCATAATTGTTGCCTTATGTCTTTCTGATATGCCTACTTACTGATGGATTTTGCTTGATTAAAAAGTTCAATGCACATGTTTGCTATTATTTATTTGAATTAATGCAGGAGATTCTTTGACTGACACTGTATGGTATGTATCTTTCCTGTAACTAAATCTATTTCTCCATTGTACTGTATATTTTTGTCCTTTAAGTACTATTGTAGTTAGTTAAATTATGTCTATTGAGTTGCAGCGTTTATGTAACTTACTCACACCAATCCCCATCTTTAATCAATGTTTTTAGATGTTATCATCATACTTGTTTATTATTTATGTTTTTGGAATATGAATCATTCTTAGGACCTAGTTTTTTTTATAGGCATGGCACGAGTTATATGGATAAGTTGGGATTTGTAAGCTTAATTGTATGGAACATGAAAACATGGAAGGCTATGGTATGCCCTTGTGTGTCCCACAAATTGTACATTAATGTAGAAAGTCAATTTGTCTCTGACAGACATCTATTATGTCTTAATATTTCTCAACTTTATTGAAGACAGTCCTTCCCCTTGGTGAAGATCCTCCAGCAATTACTTCCTTATGCTTCAACCATAACGGGAAGATTTTAGCAGCTGTTGCAACTGATGGAATGATTCACATGTTCGGTATCCTTATAGCATTTGATGTTTATGTATGAATAGTTATTATATTTCTTAAATTAAGTGTTACACATTTTGCTTTTTAGGCTCAAATGCGTTGCTATTACTATTCTTTGGTACACCAAGTAAAAATACATGAAAAAGGAATCATTTTCTTTCTTTTGGGGCTTTAGAGTTGGAGGGAGGAAGAGGGGATTAAACATTTCTACTTTGAAAGGAAACTTGTCCCCAATCTCATGCTGCACGCAAGACATGAGCAACAAATGTATACATCTTAATTTGGCAAAGATATGTCTGCCGGATTACAAATTACTGGGTGGCCAGCTCATGATTCTGCTATTAGCTCTGTTCTTTTTGGGCCTGATGAGACAAGTATTTTTAGCTTGGAGATAGATGGAAAGGCAAGTGCCTCTGATTCCTCTGATTTTAGCTCGGGAAATTATAATATTTTGTTTCTATGAATTGATTTATATAATTTTTCTTTGCCTAAAAGTTTTTTCTGTGATATGTACATGCTGTCAGGCTTCTTATACTTGTGACTTGTTCAATTGTAGGTACCTTTGGATATTATTAGTCATTGATCTAACGTTGATGATTGTATACTTGCTTGATCCGATTAATTCTAAAATAAACACAAGCCTTGAAATTGTAATAAACACATAAGTTTGGCTAGTTAGTACATTTTTAAGCAATTTGAGTTGCTTTAAAAATATTTTGACTTCTGGAATTTCTTTTGCAAAGTGTTTTGAAAATTTATGAAACTACCCAAAGGAAGAGGATGACCAATCCAGTTTGGAAAGTAGTTCAAGTAATTAATATCATTTTCTCTAATTTTATCATACTTATATTTATGCTAATGACGGTAAAACTTGATCATAACACTTTATATGTAGTTTCTAATAATAATGAAAATGCTTGCATGTAGCCCCCGCAACAAATAGTTAGTTTATTAATATGCTTCTAGTGGTTTCTGAATTAATTTGTGCTTTTATTTTTCAAGTCAGAAATTTCTTGGAGAGGTGCAAAATATGGTCACAGAATTCAAGAATTTAGTTTTTCAAATTTTTTCATTTTTTAATATATGTAAGCACAATTAAAAAAAATTTATTTAATTTCTTTGTATATACTTTTGAACATTTAATTTTCATTTATGAAATATATAACGTTATTCCATTAATATGTGGTTGCGATTCAAATTATAGTATATAGTGTGTATTATATTCTTTAAATGTGTGTACAAAAATAAATTTGTGATCTAAATGTTTATCATCACCGGTTTTATTAGTTATTGATCACACTTAAAAGATGTGATATAATTATTAATCACACATAAAAGATGTGATTTAAATATTATTAATCACACTTAAAAAATATGATCTAAGTGTTGATTATCACATGTTTTATTAGTTATTAATCACACTTAAAAGATGTGATCTAAATATTTTTAATCACACTTAAAAGGTTTGATTTAAATGGTGTCAATCACACTTAAAATGTGTGATTAAAAATGACCCATTTTAATCACACTTCTAAATATCACATTTTAATAAAGCTTAAAATGTGTAATTAAATAACATACATCACACAAAAAAATGTGGTCTTTATCTGTTTTTGTAGTAGTGGTATGCTATCTTTCTTGGGTCTCAGGCACAGATAAGACCGGCAGGAGAATTTGAGTCCCTACACCGTGACTTAATGAGAAAAACTAAGGATCATGAAAAAATTTTCATGAAAATGATCATGAAAGATTAATGACTCTTGGATTACCTTGATTAGTGTGTAGTGCATTATTTTAAGTGTAATCTAAAGGTCATAAATCTTTCATGATTATTTTCATGAAAAAATTTTCATGATACCTAGCATTGCTCTGACTTAATATATGCCTTTGGAACTTGGGTATTCGAGCCTATGGATTTGGAAAACCCGTTTCCAAACAATGAAGGTTCAATCCAACTATGGCATGGAGATAAGGATCGTATTTTGCCCGTCACATTGCAGCGTTACATTGTCCAACGACTCCCATGGATTGAGTATCATGAACTTCAGGGTTCTGGGCATATGTTCCCTTATGCGGATGGAATGACTGACGCCATGATAAAGGCACTTCTAGTTGGGGGAAAATAGCCAGCCTCAGATTTGATGGGGGCTTATATTTTTAGGTTTCTTCTGCTCTCTTTTTTTTGGGTCCTAAAATTTGTTGTTGTTGTTTTGATATGTATGACAAAATGTCAAAATCTGGACCTGCTGTCGAGTGTTTTTGTAATCTGTAGTGAATATTGTATTTGCTACCAAAGGTTTATATACAGGGTACATTTATATGTAGGGATAGTATAACAATAAAAAGTTGAAGGATCAACAATCATATAAAATTACGATTACTTTAAGACAAAGATTTGAAATCATGGAGATTCATGTGAGTAAAAAAAAAAAATCATACAAATTTGCATGAAGCACAGATAAATATCCCAAGAGTAAAAAATGCTTTTTTTTTTTTTAAAAAAAAAAAATATATTTTTTACTCTTGGGATATTTATCTGTGCTTCATGCAAATTTGTATGATTTTTTTTTTTTACTCACATGAATCTCCATGATTTCAAATCTTTGTCTTAAAGTAATCGTAATTTTATATGATTGTTGATCCTTCAACTTTTTATTGTTATACTATTAAATTTTATAAATTAAAATCCAATCATCCAAAAAATTACATAAGCCCGTGTTAAGTATAAAATTTTGTGAAGGAATTTAAAAAAGAAAAGAAAAGGACGGTGAAATGTGAATAAAATATATTTACATTTCGCCTAATTTTACATTATTTCTCTTTCCAAATCCTTTCAAAATCCTTGAACCAACACAACCTTAAGATTATTTTAGAGGATCTGGATTTGGATTTCATAGATGCATGTGCTGTCTTGTGAAAATTATGATTGGTAAAAAAAGTGAGGCTCACAATTTTATGTTGGAGACTAAAGAGTCTTACGCTGTGTTTGGTTAAGAGATTTGAAGAGGGATTTGGAAAGAGAAAGGAAAAAATAAGGTGAAATGTGAATAAAATATACCTACATTTCACATAGTTTCACACACATTTTTCCTTTCTCTTTCCAAATTCCTCCCCAAATCTTCCAACCAAATATCTTTCAACCAAATAGTTTCACACACCTTTTCCCTTTCTCTTTCCAAATTCTTTACCAAATCTCCCAACCAAACACAACATAAAAAAAAACTAGAAAATGGTATTTTAAAACCAAACCAAGATGAGTTTTGCAAGTTTTCGATCAAGATTTTCAGATGGTAGATGTCTTTCATGTCCTATTTTGAGTACACAAGAACTATCATATGCAGGCATATATATAGATTGCAAGACAAAGGGCTTGGATCGTACGTTTTCGAATACACAACGATTCCAACAACAACGATTGCAAATGATAGATAGTACAACCAATCAACCTGGACATGGAGATTATATCAGATCAGATTTGTTATCCAAGCTTAAACAGCTGTACAATTATGTATATATAGTATTGAATCAGACTCGGAGCGAACAAGTTTTAGTCAATAATAGAAAGAGAACCTGTTGGTGATAGAAAAAGATGCGAATGACAACGGCCCACATGCTGGTTGTGAGAATTGAGAGATTGAGCATTGTGGCTCCATTCATCTGTTTTCAAATCATAATCCAAAAAGAACAAAAACTTGTTTTAAAAATTTGAACTAGTGTTTGTGAGATGGGTTTGTAGCCCAAGAAAGCAATGTAACAGTAATTGTCAATTAATTGAGAGAGAAATTGACCTTTAGAACAAAAGTAACGAGACTACTGCTCATAAAGCTTGCCAGGGCATAGCCAGCAAAGGCTAATATCTGTTTTAAAAAAAAAAAGTTATGATAATATGCATGATTATTCAATACGGGATTTAGTTTCTCTCAAATTCAAATTTATGCTTGATCATCATGTTTGGACTAGTGAACCTACCACGAGTTTTGTTTTGATAATCTTAACTGTTCATTGAATTCAATTTATAAAAATTCATTACTTACGATTTCTGCAGATCACTTTATTGATTCCAGAGTTGTCCTCTCCATTATAGCTCTAAGATAGTTATGGAATGAAATAATGGAAGCAACATTATTCTTCAAGTTAAAAATCAACATAAACTACATGTATTTATGTTCCAAATTTGATGTCTTTGAAGCTAAAATAAACATTGAGCAGAGGTTTTTTTCCCAAAAGCCAGTGCAAATCCTCTATTCCTACTTTTTTACTATTATTATTTAGCTGGTTTGGTTTGGATTTTCCGGATTCATTTTTCAGAAAATTAAAATTTTTTATTTTTTATTTTTTGTGATTTTTTTTTTGTTTTTATTGATTTTTTTAAATATTCTAAGCAATTTTTTTTTTAATTTTTAGATACACCTAAAATAAATATACTTTAAAAGTATAATGTTTGTAATTTTTTTTAAATTTTTTTTACTAAATATCAAAAATATAAAAAAAAATATTAATTCAATACATTTTTCGTATTCTTATTTATTAATTTTTTAAAATATTTTTTATAAATATTTTATTTTTTAAATATATCTAAGTAAGGTGCATCTAAAAAAATATACAAAAAATACTTGAAATTTTAAAAATATTTACTAAAAATAAAAAAATATGAAAAATAAAAAATTTCATTTTCAAAAAATTAAAATCAAACGCACTAATAATAATAATAAAAATTAGGGGGATTTTTTTTAAGGTCCCTGATATTAAGAATTTATAGTATAAAGGACACTCAATATTTTCATAATGTCTAAGGTCCATTATTAGATATAAATCCTAATCACTGCTTCAAGAAATTAAACCCATATCTTTTCATTGAAAAGTAGAGGTCCGACCTGAGCATGTGTTTTAATAACATCAGTGTGTTTGTTCAATTTTTCGGATTTAATTTTTTAAAAATTAAAATATTTTGTTTTTTATATTTTTTATATTTAGTGAATATTTTTTAAATTTTAAATATTTTTTTATTTTTTAAATGCATCTTTCTTGGATGTATATAAAAAATAAATATTTGTGAAAAAATATTTTAAAAAATTAATAAATACACAAAAATACAAGAAATATACTAAATTTTAATATATATTTTTTTATATTTTTAGTATTTAGTGAATTTTTAAAATATTTTTTCACAAAAATTATAGTTTTAAAGTATATTTATATTATGTGTGTCTAAAAATTAAAAAAATTAATTAAAATATTAAAAAAATTCAGTAAAGATAAAAAAAATATGAAAAATAAGAAAATAAAATTTTCTGAAAAATATATTCAAAAACTTAGAAACAAACATAGTGATTATTTTCTAAATGAAAAGGATACATCTCGCAGATGGTGATAAGTGATCCAAATAGCCCAATCATTAAAACATATTCAACACGATCTTTATTCTTCACACAAAACTCCTACATTTCGAAAAGGTATAATAATTATAAATAATAGTATCAAAATATGTGAGTATATTATAACGGTGAACCATCTAAAATAAATTCACCGAGAGAGTAGAATTTAACAAATTCACCAACCTCACCAACATTGCCCGTTGCAAAGAAAAATGTGGCTACAATGACAAGTACATCACCCATAATAGGTTTCGAACCACCTGAAATATGATGATTTTGACATGTCAAAACAAGAATGAATTAATACTAGTGACAAACA